ACTTCTGTTAGTCTTAAAGGTGCCACAGGACCCTCTGTTGCTTCTCATGGAGTTAGGTGCCTGACCCAAGGCTGATAGTGACCCACAACTGGGAGCCCCACTTCAGGCATCAAGCAGCTGAGACACCTAAGAAGTTTCTTGTGACAATGAATTAAGCAGCTGCCATTGCCACACCCACCAAAAGAGTGTGGGGAGAAAAATGCTGCATCCAGCCCTTTAACCGAGTGATTAGAGCACTCGACTGAGCTCCCCGGGTTCAGCTCCCCGCCTTTGCCTGGAGTTGGGAGGGGGGATTTGAAGAGGCGTCTGGCGCTTTGCAGAGAGGAGCTAGACACGCCGTAGGCAATGGTGGGTGGGTGTGTGTGGCTATTACGCAACTTGCCGAGCCTGGCGCAGGCTCTGTGTAAAGCTAAAGTACTTGGCCCCGCGGGGTCCCAGCGCTCCCGGCAAAAACGCAGCGCCGCGCCTCGAGGGGCCGCTGTGCCCAGGTCTCTGCCTCCAGCCCCTGTGCGCGCCCGGCAACAACACCACCCGGACCATCAAGAGCAGGCCTTTCCTGTTGGCCACGTCATTCTCGCCATAACCGAGGAAGTGACGCAGCCGCTAGGATTTCAGCCAATAGGAGCTCGGCGGCGTCGGGGTCAAAGGACAGGCGAAGTACAAAGATGGCGGCGCAAGCGGTAGTGGCTGAGCAGATGAAGCGGTGTCAGTGAGGAGCAGGGCAGTGGCCGGGCTAGGCAAGGCGTGGGTGGGGATGATGGTGCGTGGCGCGCGCTGTGGCTGAGGACCCCTCGCGCCCTCTAGCCGTCCCGCGCACCCGCCCCTCTCAGCTGGTGCCCCGGCCTCGCGCTCCCTCCTCTCCATGAGCGGCGCGTGCGAGCTGGTGTGGCGCCTGCTGCACGCCCTGCTCTGCCTGCTGCGCGCGCTGCTCTCGTGGCTCCGCGGGCGGCTGCGGGGAGGCCCCCGCTCGTGGCTCTGGCGCTGGTGGCGCCGCGCGGCCTCTGCCGCCGCCTCCTGCGCGCTCCTGGCGCCCGCCGCCGGGGCCTTCGCCTTCCACAAGCCCGGCGCGGCGCGGCGAGTGCCTGGCGGGCGCGGGCGGGGGCGCTGGGACGGGCGGTCCCTGGAGAAGCTGCCGGTGCACATGGGGCTGGTGGTGACCGAGGAGGAGCCGAGCTACGCGGACATGGCCAGCCTAGTGGTGTGGTGCATGGCGGTGGGCATCTCCTACGTCAGCGTCTACGACCACCACGGTAAGCGCGGGGGCCTGGCGGGGAGAGAGGGGCCTTGGGCGCCACCTTCCCGTGCTCAGCAACGGGCGCGGGGCGGATACAGCGCGGCGTGTCCTGTCAGGGGGCTCCTCTGGCTAGTCGGTGTTGGAGAAACGCCCTCTTCCCCCCCCCCCCCTTCATGGACTGGGGAGAGGGGCCGCCCGCCCCCTGGGGGCCTCCGCCTGCCCCTGCACGCCCCGGGGGGTTTTTACCAATGAGCTTCCTTCCTGCGTGAATAACTCCATGCCCGCTCCTCGTCTTTGCTGTCCTGGGATCGCCAGGCTCATCTCTGCCTGCCTAGCTCTAAGAGCAGCTGTGAAACCAGCAGAGACCCCTTGGCCTTGTTCTGCTGCTGCTTGAGAAAGTGCCAGGCAGCAGCAGAGTCCCCATACCCGTCTGCCTACTAGCTCAGGAGGGTAGGGTGACATTCATTCACATGAGGTTATGATCGATGGTCTAGGACTAAAGTTAGCTAAATGGGAACTTGGATTCTGTAGGAATTGGTGGCTTAGGCCTCTGCTGCTCAGTAGGGAAAGATTCAGGTTTACTGCTGGTAAATGGATTTGCTTGTTCAGTTTGCTGTTTTTATTCTATATTCTTGTTGTGTCTGAGCACCTTTCAGAAGTTTAAGCAATGTAACTAGTGTCTCTCTTTTTTTTTTTTTCCCAAATGATCCTTCCTTCCTCTTCGAAGGGGGAAAGATACGTGCATTTTTATTTAAACTTTACATTATTAAAGTGTATTACCTGTAATGTGTTATGTTCTGTATTGATGAAGGCAAGATCAAGGAAGCGTGCCTTGAGCTTGGAATAACACATTGAGATTGTGAGTCTTAGATCCTGCAGAAGGTCCAGTCTTGGATCACTCCTCAAAAAAGTCTAGTCTCCTACATAGATGAGTTTTACCCTTGTAGTAAACAACTCTATTGTGCCAGAGGAGTGGAGCTGTTGAATGGATGATCTTTAGGTATTCTGGGCCCGAACTATTGGGTTTCTTGACTAGAAGGACAGACCTTGAATTTCTCATTTTATGGGAAGCCAGTGCAGTGAGCAGAGGACAGATTTCATATGCTCATGCTGTCACATGTTGCTGAGGACTTGTACGAAAACAGCACTTGATCTGAGCTCTAAGGAGCCGAGAAGCAACAGGGGCGTATCTTCATTAGTAACATTAAAGTGCTGTGTAGTTGCGACACCAGTGCTGGGAGAGAGCTCTCCCAGCGCTATAAAAAAACCACCTCCACAAGGGGGTCTACATTGCTATGTTACAGTGCTGAAACTTGCAGCGCTCGGGGGGGGTGTGTGTGTTTTTTCTCTAGGGTGACCAGACAGCAAATGTGAAAAATCGGGATGGGGGTGGGGGGTCATAGGAGCCTATATAAGAAAAAGACCCAAAAATCAGGACTGTCCCTATAAAATCGGGACATCTGGTCACCCTATTTTTCTCACCCCTGAGCAAGAAAGTTGCAGCACTGTAAAGTGGCAGTGTAGACATGGCCTTAGTTTCTTGACATCTGATGGCTTCGTTCCCAGATAGACGGCATAGCTTTAGTCCAGCTCAGGAGTGATGGGCATCTATTACTAACGCTAGCTAAGTCTGGGCCCAGTCCTTTCCCCAGTACAGCTTTGTTCGTTCCAGCTCAGGTGTAACTAGGGGATTTCTCATGACTGGCAGCCCCCTTTGTTCTGTTTCACCCCCTTTTATATCTTTGCCACAAGGTGTGAATCTTTTGTCTCTCTCAGTCCCTACCCCTCTTTCTAAATGGAAAAGCACCAAGTTTAAGATGGATTCCAGTACCAGGTGACATGGTCACATTTCCTGTGAGGACCGTAAGTCTCCATTCTTCCGGGCCTGACTCACAGGAAGGCTTGCAAGTAAACAGGGCCAATTTACAATCAATTGTCCTAGTCAATGGGAGCCATCAAGATTCCAAGCCACCATTAATGGCCCACACTTTGTGATAATTACAATAGGACTTTAGAGTTATACTTCATATTTCTAATTTTAGATACAAGAATGATACAAATAGGATGAACACATTCAGTAGATTATAAACTTTGTAATGATACCTTACAAGAGACCTTTTGCATGCAGCATATTCAGTTACATTATATTCACACTCATTAGCATATTTCCATGAAATGTATGGAGTGCAACGTCACAAGGGGTTTGACATAAAAAGTTTGGGGATCATTGCACTAGTGGAACTACACCATTGCTGTAACAATGAGAATTTCAATGAAAAGCTCAGTAACAGCCCTAGTATGACTGCTAATGCTATTTAGAAGAAGTCACCCATGGCTTTGGTTAGTAGGTAGAGGAACCTTGTACTGACAACTAATAGTAAGATATCAGAGTAATTTTAAAGATGTAAATATCAATCTCTGAAGTATTGTGGTTCACTTCAGTGTAAGAACCGCAGGTAAGATCCCACTAGAACTGCTTACTTGAGCTTGATACTGTAGGGCTCTCTATACCTCACAAGTCTGGTGACACTGATGATATCTAGCTTTATACTTGACTGTCTGGCCTTCCTCTCAGTAATTCCTGAGCATTAACTGTATGCCTCTTAAGGAGGATAAAAATATGACAGCAAGATTTAATTGAAAATGTTGACCACAGTAAGAATGTGGAACTATTAGTAAGGCATGCTACAACAAGATGATCTGTTTTACTATGCATTTTGTACAGTGCCCAATGCAATGGGGTCTGGTCCTTGGTCAGGCCTTTTGGGCTCTAGTTTAGCACAGAGTCACTTCTAAATAGACAAAACATACCAAAGGGTCAGAGAAAAGTAGTAGTATCCCCTATTTATAGAGGGAAAACTGAGGCACAGAATAAGATACTTGCCCAAGGTGACATCTGTAGCCTGTGGCAGAGCTGGGGATTAAACCCACATCTCTTGAGTACCGGTCTCGAGCCTTAACCACAAGTCCATCTTTCTTTGTATTTAGCAAGCATCCCAAGAAAGCAGCTGTCTAGTAGATCATGCAGACTTTCAACAAAATAGTTCATGATTCATTATCTTAGTGTGCCAACTGACACAGTATTTCCCATATTTTTTTCCTTGGGAAGGTTTCCCAACTGAACTATTCAAGACTGAGAGGGGACGTGATAACCAAGTTTTTCAAGTACATAAAAAGTTGTTACAAGGAGGAGGGAGAAAAATTATTCTCCTTGTCCTCTGAGGATAGGACAAGAAGCAATGGGCTTAAATTGCAGCAAGGGCCGTTTAGATTGGAAATTAGGGTAAACTTCTTAACTATCAGGGTGGTTGAGCACTGGAACGAATTGCCCAGGGAAGTTGTGGAATCTCTGTCGTCGGAGATTTTTTTGAATTTAAGTGCAACCCAGGATCTACCTCAAAGAAAATGTAGAAATAACAGTAATCTCACAAACCCAAACACCCTTGCCCAGCCCCATTTCCTGCTCCTGACCCACCCCTTCCCCGAGGCCCCATCCTGCTCACTGCATCCCCGCATCCCTCCAGCGCTCGCTCCTCTCCCCCTCACTCACTTTCACTGGGATTGGACGGGATTGGGGTGCAGGCTCTGGGCTGGGGCCCAGGGGTTTGGAGTGTGGGAGGAACCCGGACTGAGCCTGGGGTAGGGGGCTAGGCTGCAGGAGGGGGCTCAGGGCTGGGGCAGGAGGTGGGGGTGTAGGGTGCTGGCTCCAGGAGGGGGCTCAGGCAGTGGGTTGGGGTGCAGGGTGCAGGCTCTGGGAGGGGGCTGGGACAGGGGGTTGGAGTGCACGAGGGTGCTCAGGGCTGGGGTTTTGGGGTGTAGGAGAGGTTTGGGGTGTGGGCTCCAGCTGGGTGCCACTTACCTCAGGCGGCTCCTGGGTGGCAGCGGCGCAGTGGAGTTAAGGCAGGCTCCCTGCCTGCCCTGGCCCCGCACTGCTCCCAAAAGCAGCTGGCATGTCTGGCAGCAGCTCCTGGGGGAGGGGGGGGGAGGCGTGGAGGGTCTCTGTATGCTGCCCTCGCATGCAGGCACCGCCCCTGCAGCTCCTACTGGCTGCAGTTTCCTGTTCCCGGCCAATGGGAGCTGCTCTCCCTGCCACTCTGACTGCATCTGGTTTCCAAAGGGCAAGATATGGCAATTTACAAAAGAGCCTAATGTTGATGGTCAGTGTTTTCTCAACCAAAGTTTATCAAGTTAAGTGTCTTCAGTTGGGATGAAGACTTGTAAGAACCTCTATTTAAGCAGCTAGTTTTTCAGGACTTGACAGATTTCTTAGGTCTTGTCTACACTTAAAGCTACAGCGGCATAGCTCTGCAGCTGCACCACTGTAGTGTTTCAGTGAAGACTGTGCCTACACCGATGGGAGGGGTCCTCCTGTCAGAGTAGGTAATCCATCTCCCTGAGAGCCAGTAGCTAGGTCAGCGGAATAATTCCTCCATCAAACTAGTGCTGTCTACACAGGAACTTAGGTTGGCTTAACTATGTCTTTCAATGGTGTGCATTTTTCGTACCCCTGAGCAATGTAGCTATGCTTACCTAATTTTCTAGTGTAGACCAGGCCTCTCTACTAGCGAGAGATTGCCCAAATAAAAACCCACCCACCCTGGACCCTGCTTAGTGCCTTTCTATTTTGTTGGCTAGCTAACAAGCAAAGCAGCTGTCTTATACACTTGAAGCTCCATCTCTTCCTAGTTGCCTTGAAGGTAGAGGTCTCCTTCACCCCAGAGTGTTCTGGATGCCGTGTGGGGTTTGGAATAGATCTCTGCTATTCTCCCTCCCTTGTTTCCCTTATTTTGGGTTGGGGTCGGGGGTTTGTCTTCCTCTCTGCAAAACTGAAATGCCTATTGCCACTGATTCTCATAGCCTGCAGCAGTGTGAAATTGACAAAAATCATGTGTTGTGCTGCTACCAGTAGGGCTATGAATAGCTGTGACACTGACCAGTTTTGTTAATTTAACTAGACTTCATTGATCAGCAATCTTTTTGCAGACTAGGGCAGAAAAATCTGCATGACTTTACATG